AATCACCAGGGGGATTAAGGACTCGGCGGCGGATGACGGATCTTCTTGTGATCGTGAGTCACCCATCAATATCCGGAGAGCCTCGCGTGCCAGCGGCACATACTGATAGTCCACAAAGAACACCTTGGCCTCGGAGTGGCGAAGAATGGTTGCAACGTTCTTAGCATCAAGCCTGGTATTGATGGTGTTGAGCACGGCTCCAGCCATGGGAACAGCAAAATGCATCTCGTACATGGCTGGAACATTGGGAGCCAGCACGGATACCTGCGAATGGAGGTTCTTTTAATGAAAAGAAACACTGAGATAATAGATATTAAGTATGTACGATGAACTAAGGAAACTTACAACATTGCCGTTCTGAAGGTTAAGAGAGAGGAGAGATGAAGCGAGGCGACAGCAACGTTCATAGGTCTGACCCCAGGTGAAACGAGTGTTCTCGTAGATGACCGAAGTACGGTTAGCATAAACAGAGCCAGCCCTTTTGAGGAAAGTCAAGGGGGTAAGTGGCACATAATTTGCTTGGCATTTTGGGAGTTGGTCCATTTGGTTTTTGATTGCTGAGAGTAAATTAGAGAGAGAGAGATGGGGTGAGGTGAGTCGGTCAGGAACTAGGATTGATAGAGATATATATAGAGAAGAGAAGGGGAAGGGGGTGAGATACACGTTGATCGGGTTGAATGGAAATTTATTTTATTGATAGAAATAATAATACTAATAAAAGAAAAAAAAAGGTGCGACTTGCGGGGGAAGTTGATAGGGAAATTGCTTGGTCATTGCAAAGCAAACATATAGTAGTTAACTGGAGTTTTGGAAAAGGATTTTTGTTGACCCGAACTACCCTCGAACGTTCATACTTTCTCCTGCACTCTCCCTCTCTCTATATTATTTTCCTTCCTTTGGTTGGATTAATTGTTTTCCGTGTGGGGGTGGGGCTGCTTGACTCCACGTCTTCACCACCATATACCATTGCATCTCTTTCCTTTTTTTTTTTTTTTTTAACTAACTCCATGCCACCATCTATATTACACATAATAATTTATTAGGCAATCTAAATAGTAAAGCACACAAAACCAACCTTTTTTTTTATTATTATTTCTAGTTCTAGTAATTCTAAAACGATTTGTCAAAAACAATATTTCAGCACCAATTTTAAAAAAACATAAAATCAAATCAAATAGAATTCAAATTACAATTCAATCAATCAATCATTCAGACTCATTAATTGGAAAATAAAAAGAAAACTGTAATTTTTCCTTAATTTTGATATGAAGTTGACTGTAAAGAATTGCTACTATAAATAGATGGAAGGATGTGGTCGGTGTTGGCGTTACAGTAGTATACAAATAAAGAAATCAATTTCTGGGTTTGGTAAATCCAAAGGTTCGGCTGCCCTTTTAACCCCCAGAAAAAAAAAAAAAAAAATCTAAGGTTTTGTCATTCTATTACTGGTTACACTTTTACCAGAGATTTCTGAATTTTGTAGAAACATTTTCCTTTCTACTGTGAAGATAATAATATAGTGACCTATATCAGGTACCGATCACATCTTTGTCGGAAACTGCTTTTGTTTAGGGACCAACAACATAAAAGCTGCTTTTGTTTTATTAATAATTCTTTTTATTTCTTGAATTGTCTTCTCTATATTATTTCTAACATTTCATACGAGGTAATGCTACATTCTATTACTAAAACTAAGGTCAAGATTTAAAGTATATATAGATGAACAGTAAAATTAATTTTAATAAGATAAAAAAATTTTAAAACTTAAAATTTCAAATTAAATAAAATTTAAATAAATATATAATTATTAATATCAAATATAAATTTAATTTGAATCTGATCAAACCGATTGTATGCCATTACATCTCTCTTTTCTTCTTCTTTATTTTTTTTTAAATTAACTGCCACCATCTGTATTACTCATAATAATTTAATAGGCAATCTAAATAGTAAAACACACAAAAACCAGCCTCATGATTTTACCATTTATATACAGCAAATGAGCAACAACAAAGGTTGGTGAAGTTAGGATATTTTATGCTCATCAATACCAAAGGTTGGTGAAAATTTCATCTTTGTTGGCATCAAACACCAAATGAGCATTAATAAATTTTTAAAGGTATTTTAAAGTTTACATACATACACTTCTTTTCTTCTCAAGAAAACTTCCCAGTGAATTCAGAGATGAAATCAAGTCTTGTGGAATTAATTCAGATTATAATAGAATAACCAACAAACATTGTTTACTTGTTTTGTTTTGTTCTGTTTGTCTAATTTGTAATGGTCCGATGGCTAGACCACTCAAAAAGTCATGTGGAAAAAGCCATTGTCCAAGGTCTATTATTAGTGCTGTGGAAAAGAATATCAACCAATCAAATTAAAATATATGAATAAAAGAAAAAAAGTTTTTCCCTATCTTAATTAAAGCGAATTGGCTTTGGACCTATATATCTATTTTAATTTAAATATAAGATAATAGAAAATTTATAATTTTATAGATATCAAATAATATTATTTTAATATATTTTTATTATGTGTAAACGAGATTATCACATAACTTACTTAATAAAATATAAAATATGAAAAATATAGAATAAAATTGAATTTTAATATTATGTTAAGCATTTAATATAAAACTAATAGATAATAAATAAAAAACCTAATTTAAATATAAAACTAACAAAATTTAAACTTTAACCTATGTGAAACAATGCTATTTTAACAATCTTCTAACTTTTTTTTTAATTAAAGAAATTAATATTGCAATTGGAAAAGCCACCTTGGCACTGTAAACTTCCAACAAGGTTTTGGTAGATATTTTATTTCAAAGTCATCCTTCCATGGCAAAAGCAACTCTCTTATCTTTCACTTTCTATATCTTTCCAAGCTTAAATTCTTGGTCAAAGACAAAGCAGAAACAGAAACTGGACATTTTCCATAAGCATTTTATTGGTGATAATTTGCATAAACTTGGTCGGCCACCATAGTTTGGGCCAAAGCAAAAACTTGAAACTAAAGTAGGAAAACTTCTAACAACTCCCACCCAAATTAATCTATATTAGGTAACTCCTTAATAAAAAAGAGTCTTTTTAAGCTTTCACAATTGAATTATTATTTACTAAACAGATTTTTTTGGTAATTAAGTAGCTAAATTTTAGGCATTTAGGACGTCTATGTAACCATCCACAAAAGCTTTTTTTTTAGTGTTCTTATGAGTTCGCAATACATAATATTTGTCCCAAATTGCTTGCCATTCTTTGATTCTTTAATTTTCATTGGAGTTTAAAATAATTGATTTTAGTGTATTTAATATTAAAAATTAATTTTTTTATAAAATTGATATTTATATTTTTAATGTAAAAAATAAAAAAAAATTATGAAAAATAATTTATATTATAAAAAAGTAAAAAATTTTAAATGTCAAAAAAACATGATTTAAAGACATCACCAAAAAAAAAAAAAAAATTGAAGGTGTATGAGTTTTAATTGTTTTTGCCTTTCACTTCTCAAATCTTAATTCTTTTTGCATTATAAAATGGATTAATGTCATGAATAATCTCTAAATTATAATAAAAAATTTTAATATGACAACTGAATTTTAAAAATATTTAATTTAATATTTAATTATTAATATTATTTTTAGTGTGGTTAACTTTAAAAGATAACATATGATGGATAAAAAACTCTCAAAGTTTTATATTAATTTATATATTAATAGTTTAAATATCATATTAAAAATTTTTAAAATATCACATTAAATATTTTACTATTATTTAAGAATCATTCATAATATTAATCTTTTCAAAATCTTCTCGAATATCTATATTTTAAAAGTTTGAGGGATTAAATAGAATATTCAACGAGGAACAACTTGTTTTCAAAATAATATATATATATATATGTATATGATGTGGCAATAAATAAATATTAAAAAGAATATAGAAGATTTTATAGCCAGCCCAAATGAATTTTAAATTGCATGCGTAATAATGGTATTGGATTTCATTAGATTTATAGGATACTCTTTAAATCTTATAATACTTTATATTATATATATATATATAACTTATAAAATATATTTGCGATTAAATAACAAAAATAATTAAAATAAAAGACGAAGCATCAACAGTTCTCAAGCTTATCCCAAACAGATAGATTTGCAAGCTTCCTTGCCTCTCTCTCTCTCTCTCTATATATATATATATATAAAGAAGAATTCAAATTGGAAATAAAAATTGTGTTACACATTGGTGTTTTTAAAAAGCTTTTTCTTTATTGTGTTCATTTCACATGTTTCAGTCCAATCTCATGTCTAAAAATTTGTGATAAGAAATTCATTTGACCATTTGATTTGTGTTACACATTTGGTGTATGATACAATTAAAAAAAAATTAGTTATATTAAAAAATACGAATATTATTATAAACATATTAGTGACAAAATATTTAATATTTTTATTTAACAAATGATGGATATATAATAAAATTATATTGGTTAGATATCATACAGACAAAATAAGTTAAAATTATATTATTGAAAAGTTCATGATACAAATTATACATTTTATTTCTTGAGATATTGTATTATACATTTTCTCAAAATTCAAGTATAAAAATGTAATTAACTCAAAGATAATTTACAAAACGATCTTTATGTAAAACTTAATTTTTGATTTGGATTGAAAAACGCTAAATAAAAAAACTTGAAACCAAGAAGCTTTTTGGTTTTTTTTTTCTTTTTTTAAATATGATTTTACTTATATTCAAACATCTGATTTATCAATAATACTAATGAGAGACTGTGTTATAGCAGACATTAATTCATCAAAGTCTTGCATTTGTTCCTACCATCTACTAATCCACATGGTGCATGTACTATTTCTCAAAATACAAATATCAAGTACATTAATCCATGTGGTGCATTCATTCCACATGTTTCAGTATAATCTCATGTCTTGAGAATTTGTGGTAAGAAATTAATTTCATTATTTGATTTGTGTTACACATTGTGTTTGACACAAATAAAAAAATTAGTTATACTAGAAAATACGAATATTATCGCAAAAGTGTTAGTGACAAAATATTTAACACTTTTATTTAACAAATGACGGGCATATAATAAAATTATACTTGTTAGATATCATATAGATGAGATAAGTTAAAATGATATATTATTTGAAAGTTTAAGGTGCAAATAATACATTTTATTTCTTGAGGTACCATTTTATATATTTTCACAAAATTCAAATACCAAAAATATAATTAACTCAAAGAAAATTTACATAACGATCTTTACATGAAAATTAATTTCTAATTTGGATTGAAAAATTCTAAATAAAAACCTAAAACCAAAAACCTTTTTGGTTTTTTTTTAAATATGATTTTACTCATATTCAAACGTCTGATTTATCAATAGTACTAACACCACTAGAAAAAAAAGGTTTTATCGATGAAAATTTTCATCGGTAATAGTTTTAAATTTCATTGGTAAAAGTATTATCTACAAAATTTATCAACAAAAATTTTCATCAGTAGTAAGCAAGTTGGTAGTAGTATTTTGTTGATAAGTTAAAATTTTCGTCAGTAATTACCAA